CTGTGGCTCCCAGTCTGCCTCGCACCGTGACGGGAATTGGGGTGCGAGGAGCAGAGGCGGGGAACCCCAGCTCCCAGTCCCGTGTGCCCCCACGTTATGTGGGGGACACCCACAACGCACGCCAGTGCCTTTTTGAGTTGTCAAAGACCCTTTGAAGGTTGATTCTCTTCATTTTTTCCTCTAATTGTTGGTCATTTGATCGAAACCGGTTTCCAGGAATTACTGTGGAGCACACCTTTGGGTGACGACAAACACCAGGTGCACTCGAACGGCAGTTTAGTCCGGCCCAGCCCTCGGCGAGCGCTGAGCCACACTTATAAAACCAGTGACAATGACACCGGTGCATGTACCACGTGGATGCCATTTAACCCGCCCCGGAGCGGAGAGCAGTTCCTGGCCCGGAGTAGGCATCTGGTCCTCTATTTGTTGAATACATGGCAAAAGATAAATAATCTGAGTCAGAAGTGAAAAATGTTTTTTGTAAAAAGAAAAGAAAATCATTGCTGAAAATTGAAACATTCTTTACATCTAATTATTCTCAGTTTGTTAGTGCATATACAAACATACACGCATTAAGGAACACAAACACACCCATATCCATATACGTGGGCTCCGGGTTATATTGAGTGCAATATATATAAATATGTATATATTATACTCAGTGTATATGTGTATATATGCAATATATACTGCACTCCGTATGAGCCTGAAACCCTTTTCTCTCTTAGCTTCTCCCCATTTGGATAGCAAAGTAATTACTTTTCCTGCCGTTATTGTCACCAATCAGATAAGGGAGTGTGATTAGGGAAATTGAGCTGATCCGTTTCCGTACCACGGACCGGTGCTGTTAGCCCACTTGCTTCCATTCTCATAAAAATTATGCCATTTACACTGGAAGATAGCAGTCCCCGCTTCTATTAGGAACAAGAACCCTTTCTACTCCATAATATGCTCAATTACCATTGGATTGATCCATGAATACATTATGATCCAGAGAGGCTGCTTTACCTTAAAGCTTTGTGGGTTTAAGGTGTCATTGTTGATTCATTGCGTCGTCACTTCTCCATCGGCCGCGGAATGCTCTCTCTGCCCGGCGCGGGCAGCTTTGGCGTGAGATACCGTTATCTCTAAATGAGTAGGATTTAGCTCTTCTGGTGAGAACAAATTCATCAGCGACGAATCCCCGGAGAAGCCACTGAAACAAAAACCACACCATTTCTGAGCTTTTTCCGTTCATCGGTTACAGAGCAGCTTTTGAGAGTTCTAAAGAACTTTTTCCTTTGTTTGAAATGTACAGCTCGGGGGCTCCAACCCCCTGGCCTCGAGGGTCTGCCGCTTTTCCGGCAGGAAAGTAATGAACGATGTGGAACCCCACCTGCTGCTGGCTGTCGGCCGGCCGCGGCTCTGCCTGCGATAGGAAATCAATTAGCTATATGTTCAGGCAGAGATTTGAACTGAGCACTTTATTAGTCATCACTGGTGGCTCGCATGCACCGGGGCCAACTGTGCATTCATCTCTGCTCTCCGTGAGTTCTCATCTGTGTTGCTTTGTTTCTTCGGCAAGATCAGAACACACACACCTAAAGGGAGCTATGCGGAGAGGGGATCCTTTGGCGCAGGGGAGAATTGATCTTCTTCGTTTTTGGAGAGCTTCGCTTTTAAAATGTTTGGTACACAAATATCCCGAAGGCATCTTAATACATGCAACGTGATTTAAAAACAGAGAGAAGAACAAAAGCACACAGCCCTGGCCGGCTCTGTTGGTTGGCCCGTCGTCCGTAACCTTTCAGTCACGGGGTCCATCCCCACCGTGGGCACACACAGTCCCTGGCTGGGTGTGTCCTGGAGGCAACCAATCGATGCTTCAATCTCACATCGATGTTTTCTTCTCACTCCCTTCCTCTCTCTCTAAAAAGCAATAAAAAAATGTCCTAGGGTGATATTTTCTGTAATTGTTTGCAGTGGTCGACCACATTTGCCTTGAAGATAAAAAAAATAATAATTACGCTTACAGAGTGCATTTAACTTTCTTATACGAATGCAGAAAACCTTGAACGTCTCAAAGCTGCCTGGGCCGGGGACTGTCTGGGTAGCAGTGAGGACCACACCCTTGACGGGCCCTTGTCCGCTGGAGATGAGGACCAGGGCAGGCAGGGCTGTCACGGACATTCTGTGGGGGTGGACTTTCAGTGCAAAGGAAAACCTGGCAACATTTTTCCTCCTTTTCCATCGACTCTTTGAGTCCACAGTACCTTCCGTAGAGAGCCTCTCCTCAGGACTAATTATAAAAATGAGCACGTCTTTGAATCACACACCGTCAGCCAGGAAAAAGGCAGCGTCATTTGCACACGGCAAGTGCGACCGGTCACTGCAGACAATTGCAGAAAATATCAGGCTGGTGGATGTTTGCCGAGGCTGTGTTCCGTTCAGCACCACGGGACTTTCTGTTGTCATTGTCGTTATTCATTTCCATCGTTGGAACAATTTGAAATCACCACCGTTTCAATGGAAACTTTATTTCTCTCCCTTTGGATAATGAATAGTAAACATGAGCGGGGAGCCTCCTCTGGTCTGTGTTTAAAAGGAATCAGAAAGTTCCAAGGGTGACTTCCTGGGGTGACTCAGGGAACTCCGAGGTGGGTCAGACGGTGCCGGGCAAGGTAAGATCCGGTCAGGGAGGCAGGACAGCGCTACGGGCTTCCACCAAACCCACCGCCAGGGGGTCTGCAAGGACCTGAGTCGTGGGTTTCAGCACAATGTGCCCGAAGATCCTCAAGAGTACAAGGTTGAGCCCTGGCTGGCGTAGCTCAGTGGACTGAGCATGGGCCTGTGAGGCAAAGGGTCTCCGGTTCGATTCCCAGGCAGGGCACACGCCTGGGTTGCAGGCCAGGTCCCCAGTAGAGGACACACAAGAAGCAACCACACATGGATGTTTCTCTCCCACTCTTTCTCCTTCCCTTCTCCTTTCTCTGAAAATAAATACATAAAATATTTTTTTAAAAGAATACAGAGTTGGAAGTAAGGAGCCGTGCAGGAGAACGGAGGGAGGGACACCCCAGTGAGCCTCGGTCATGGGCAGAAGTGTCTGTCCACCTCCTTGTGAGATGTTAGTGGGGTACCAGGGACTTCTCTGACACTGAGTGTAATCCCCACCCCGTTACCGGAAAAGGGCATTTCGAAAGAGGACATGGCAAACAAGCATTATATTTTCTCCATTAAAAAGGCTTACATATGGGCTAAGGGGTGAGGATTTGTTTTATGCTCTTATTTATTTCATGCTTTTAAAAATGACAGCATCAACTTATTTTATGGTACAAATCCATATAATATATTCTTTCCCTCCATCATACCGTTTCATATTACTGCAGTCATTAAATGGTGTAATTTCAGAACGCATGAAGGTGTGGTGATGAAGAATACAGTTCCAGTTTAATTGTGTATAAATTAACTCGGCATTCATCACATGGTTTCCATTTGTTTGACTTGTTGACATAATTACAGTAAATGGATAATGGAAAAACAGTCCCCGGTATTGCTATGTACATGTGCCCTGCTCATATAAATTTTCAGTTGCTGTCTGGCTTTATTAGAGCACCTTTCAGTTCTGTCTCCCCTGCCTGCCAGCGACCCTGGAAGGTGGGGGGGGCGTGTTCTCCTAGAGCACCTTGCTCCCTGGGAAGGGGGGGACCGGTGTTTCGAAGGAAGTGTGCCTTTTCACCTCCGGACCGGCTAGGCCAGAGACCCGGCTGGCCCTGGAGCACGGCAGAGTGCAAGCCTCCGTCAGCAAGATGAGCAGTGTGCAACCTCGCTCATCTCACGGCACACACGTGAGCTAATCCCTAAAGTTCTGTGGCACACCAAAAGAGGTATTTTTTGCCAGTCTGACAAAAAAAGGCTCAATTTTCATTGACCCTTTGTAAAAAAAAGAATAATGATTGAAATGACCTACCCTTGTTGTTCCAGAGTGACTTTTTATAAAATCGGATGCCTATATACTTGTGTATTTCTGGTACCAAGAATTAACCAATCAGACACAACCTTATTGTGTGATGTGACCAATAAGATGCACTCTTATCACATGACCTGTATAGTTATGGTTCAAGACAGAGCATTCCCACTGCATGGCCACTGCTGCGTTAGACCATCGAAGGGAAGAGAGGTCAGCACCCCTGACTAAACAGCCAGATGTTGCATGTTTGCAAAGGTTGCATGTTTGCAAGAATGCATGTTTGCATTCTTGCAGCACATCAGTGTGCCGTGGTATACCAGTTGACCGTCACTGAACTAGATGAATGAACAGTATGAGGGTACTTTCTTGTTCAGCTGAAGCCGTTTTCCCACACCATGCAGGTGTCTTTCTGAATGAGCTTCGTGAAGTCCAGTTGAATGACCTTGAGGTTGAAAACTCGACAGCGTGATTTTGGATACTGACAGAACTGGTTTAAGCACTCGGGGATTGCCTCTGCTTTTTCACTTCTATTTCGGTCTCCTTCACGCAAAATAAAATTTATTTCCTGTACCGAGAAATCAATATTTTTACTATTTTGTTTACAGCTCTTCCAGTAAATTGCAATCAACATTCATTACCAGCTTTAAAGAGATGTAGTAAGAATTGAACACAGTAACACAGGGATACAGATCAGAACTCTGGCAAAGTGCCTTCGCCACCGACAGAAGCGTCTGCCAGGGCTGTGGCTGTGTCTGTGTTGTGCTAAGGACTCGGCGGAGGGGGAAGAAGCAGCGATGGATCTCACCTCCTGTCCACGCGAACCAGACCGACGGCTCTGGTTTCAGTGGGCGCTTTTCGTATCTCAGACACACATACTTGGAAAGAGCATGTTACCCATGTGTCCTCTCTAACGATGAACGGAATCTGGTACCCGGGGGCCCTGGGAGGACGCTGCCCACGGAACTGTCCCAAACACGCCTTCGTTGGCGCGTACTTGTGTTTATGTCCTCACAAGCTAACGTGCTTTCTCCTTGATGTGTTTCCCCTGCAGAAACTGCCCAGTTTCGGACCTTACCTTGAGCAGCGCAAGAAGATCATAGCTGAGCACAAGATTAAACTGAGGGAAGAGGATGCGGCTGTTCCGCCCCCGGAGAGACGACTCTTTCTCCGCAAGAAGCCTGTTCCTTCCATCAAGGTAAAAAAGAAGCCACGCCCTGACGGGTGTGTTTGGCTGTTGGGATGTGCAGCGTGGCTTAGTGTCTGTGTGCCGTCAACACGGACCACACCCACCCGAGCCGCCACTGCAGAGCCCAGGGGCCACCACGGCTGACACTGAGCTGCTTGTCATGTTTTCCGGAGCCTGCTCTTCCTCCTGAGCCAGCCTGGGTTCCACCCTGTCCCGCGTCCACTCATGGGTCGGTCCCCAGGGTCTGCAGCTTCCGTTGGTCTCTCCTGGACCCTCCTCTCCTGTCCTGCCCTCTCTGCGGGGGCCTTAGTGTCATACAGGCTTCGCACAGCCCTTCCTGGGATTCCCTGCCTGCTGACCTCCCCCCTTCTGCGTCCGCTCTTATCTGGTGCATCCTCCAGCCACACGCTCTGCCCACGTGACTCAGACGTGGCTCCAGGCTGTGGATGTATTCTGGCAGGCACACGCGGGCACGTGTGCACACTTCCTCTGCTGCTTCATTACCCGTTTTGTGTTTTCCCTGCAGTTTCTTCTGCTGTTGGTGCTTCCTCACCCACTTCCTGGAGGCCTGGCCGACCTGTGTCCACGCCTCAGGTCTTCTCTCCACCCATCTGTCCTGTGCAGCTGGTTCCTTCCCCCGCCCCCCCACCTCCTTGTGGATCCCTCGTTCAGCAGTTTGAACCCCCACGCGCCGCCCCAGTGCGGGCTGCCGTCCCGAGCACTGTGGAGGGAGCCCCAGTGCCCCACAAAGCTCCCTCTGCCCGCCGTCTGGGCAGGTCCTCCAGCCCTGCGTTCAGGGTTCTCTCTGACCAGGGCTCCATCTGCCCCGGTTACGAGGACGACAGTCTTACTTCCCAGCCGGCCGTGCTCAGTAGCTCTCCCCTCTTCTGTTGGTCGCTCCTCTCCCAAGCCTCAGCTCGGACGTCAGGGTCCGGAGCCTCAGCAGGGGGCGCCGTCTGCGTCACCAGTCAGGCGGCATTGCTGGAGCATCTGCTCGGTGGCCAGCACTGAGCTGGGGACCAGGTCTGTGTGCAGGGACACGTGGGTGTGGCCTGCAGCTGGGGGGGGCCTCCCGGTCGGGGCAGAGATGTGGCGCCATTTATCATGCACCCCCCGCACCCCAGGAAGTGGGCTAGACGGTGGGAACGCAGCATGAATTTTAACGAGAAGGAAATCTCTCCTGATGGAGCTCGGAGTCTAACAAGGGAGAAAGACACGTGTTAGAAATTATTTACAGTTCAATCAAATGTGTACAAAACGCTCCGGGAGCACAGAGGAATGGGGAGGATTAGTTCCGCCTTGGCTGGTCGTGGAGAGCTTCACAGAGATGCGATATTTAACAAGGAGTTTAATAAATTAGTGCTAATTAAGCAGAGAATTAATAATAAAAGCTAATATTTATTAAGTCCGGTTGCGGTTTCAGACCCTGTTTTCCGTGTTTACGAATTAACTCATTTCATCTCACAGTGACCCAGGCCGCTACCAGACACCGGTATTTTCCCTGCTTTACCAGTTCAGTGATTGGCAAACAGAGAGGTCGAATAACTTGCCCAAGATCACACAGCTAAGAAAGTATCAGAGCCTGGGTTTTACTCCACAGTCTGTCTCTGGAACGGGGCCCTCACGCACTACCCCTGCTGTCTCTCGCAGAAGGAAAATGAGGAAGGTAGCATTTCGAGTCAGGTGTGTGTTTGGAAAGCGTTGCGTTCGAGCCTGTTTGAACTAACAGGCAGCCACGGGGCCTGGGGCCTTCGATCAGGTGCGTGGTCCCCTGACGAACAGGCGGTGGCAGAGGCAGGCTCGTTCTTGGTTCGGTGGGAGCCCCCTCCTGGGAGGGCAGACCTGGCGACGGTAATCTAGTTTTCTTGATTGTTGTTGACAGTGTGGTGTCCCAGGGCGGGGGACGTGCTCACTGAACTGCTCAGAGCCTCAGCTGCCGCATCGGGGTTATTCCTGTGTCGCCCTGTGGCCGGCGTCCTGGAGAACAGTGTCCCTGCGGCCCAGCCTGGCCTTGCCTCCAGAGACGCTGGAGAGTGGCCTCGGGGGCCCTCGGTCCTACCCCAGATGGGTCGGCGGGGGGGCTCACAGGACAGCCAGGCATCCAGGGGACTCTTGTCACCACCGGCACAGCCCGGTCTGCGTCCCTGACAGCACAGCATTTCCCAGGTGTGCCGCCGCACTGGGGAGCCTACTCGCCTGGGCAGGAAATGGGGGCGGATTCGCGGCAGAAGAGGGGCACCCATGGGAGCAGGGCTGGGAGGCTGAGGGGAAGGTGGGCTGAAACAGGAGAGAGAGCGGCTTCTCCCTAGGCCCAACCGGGACCTCCCAAAGGCGCACCTGCCGCGTTCCGCAGCAGAGAGTCACCGAGGGGCACGGCAGTGAGGGCCACACCCGCCTGGGCTCCGGGAGGGACCTGCTGCGTCTCCAGGGAGCTGTCACGGAGACCGAAGGGTCTGCCAAGACTTAGGGGGCCTGGACGTGCCCACCTCTGCCGACGTCCATGGGCAGGAACCCGCACCCTCTCCATGACGCCAGGGAGGGAGGGGCCCTCCCTCGTGTCTGCATGTCAGGGTGGGAAGCGGATGGCTGAGGGCACAGTGAGCTGTCACCGCCCCTGCTGCTCCCACTGGGAGGCGGCCGCATCCACGAGGCTGGCAGAGCACGTTGGCGGCAGACCGACAGCCCGATCCAGTGGGTTATTATTTCAGTTGACTCGTGAGAGGAAGAAGAGTGTGGTTCTGAGATGAAAGTGAAGGACGCACTGGACACGGCAGGACATAAAGGAGACGGCGCAGGAAGAGAACAGCCAAGGACGTCACCGCGGTTGTCAGAAGACACCAGAGGGGGGCCGGAGCGAGAGAGCCTTCTCACTCGACATCCTAACAAATCGCAGAGAAAACTCACCAACCCGAACGTCTAAAAACATGGACACGTGTGTTCAGAATCGGCCCTGCAGTCTCACGGGCACGCCGGGCGGTGTGACCCATGCAGGACCATGGGGACGGGATGGTCCCTCCTGTCTGCAGTGAGCAGGTCTAACCACGGGCTGGAGGAGGTGCAGGCATGTCGGAGCCGTCTGCACACGTGTGTGGTGACCCCCAGACTGGAAGGTGACACCCAGGGGAGGGCAGGTGCAAGAGAGGGAAACCGAGGAAAAGCAGAAACGCATCCTGAGGTGACATCACAGACCCCACAGCCAGCTGGTTAACACGGACAGGCCAGGGGAGGCCCCTTGGACGCCCTCACAGCCACCGGGGCGCCCACCCCACCCGAGGCAAAGCACCTGGAAAGTTACTGACTCCCCTGTTGGAAGTTTAGTCTCACGGAAGAGAGAGAAGTGACGAGGGGACCGGCGGCCTTGGCTTGTTTCCAGCTCCTTAGAACAATCTGTTTGGGGAGATGGCAGCTAGAGGCATCTTGAAGGAAAGTAACCCTCCATCCACCTCGGGGTTCGGTGCACCTGGGAAAGGAGGTCTGAGCTGAGATACACAGGTGTCCCCGCGTTGGTAAACCCAGCTTCCTGCGGTCAACGACCCAAACGCAAAGGTGGACGGGGAGGACGGAGGGGCTGCCGAGCCGCAACCTGAGGACGCCCTCCCTGCTTTCCCCAGGGCATGAGCGAGGGGCTGAGCGTTTACAGAGCTCAGTACTCAGCGGTCCTGGGAGAACGCTCAGGTCACAGGTCACCAGTGGTGATGGAAAGAGTGTCACCAGGGCTTAAGGATGTGTCATAAGTGCCCAAGCCGGAGATTATGTTATTTGGAGAAAATATGAGATAAGATGGGAAAACATTTTGTCTATTAAAAGGTAAAAAGAGCAGATGGGCCCTGGCTGGTGTAGCTCAGTGGATTGAGCGCGGGCCTGGGAATCAAGCAACCACGGTTCGATTCCCAGTCAGGGCATATGCCTAGGTTGCAGGCCAGTTCCCAGCAGGGGACACACAAGAGGCAACCATACATTGATATTTCTCTCCCTCTCTCCTTCCCTTCCCCTCTAAAGATAAATAAATAAATAAATCTTAAAAAAATAAAAAAAGAGCAATAGTTTTACCAAAAAAAAAAGAGCAGATGGTGTACTCTTAACTCAAAATTGGAGAGACCTGTTCAACTAGTATTTTTCTAGCCTCCCCAGAGGGACTGTTCTCAGCACCACAGAGGACAGGCGGGACCTGCCAGAGACACGAGCCCTCGGGTGGGTAAGGCCACGGCAAGCCTGGCCACACCCTCGGTTAAAAGGGCACAGTGACGAGGACCAGGGGACTGTCCCCAACCGTCCTCAGACATTCCCACACCTCGCCCGCTAGTCCCTGTCACTAAGAAGCGGGCCCCTGGCCTGCCCTCTCTCCCCCAGTTCAGTCCCCAGGTCCGCACATGCTTCTGTTCTGTGTGTTGGTTGCCTCCCTGCCCCTCCCCCACGGGCAGCATGCAGGACGTCCAGAACTTGCGTGCTTGTTGGCTTTTTTTTTAAGATTTTACTTATTTAGTTTTAGAGAGAGGGGGAGGGAGGAGAAAGGGAGAAACATCAGTGTGTGGTTGCCTCTTGCGCCCCCTACTGGGGCACCTGGCCCACAACCCAGGTGTGTGCCCTGACTGGGTATTGAACCCGGGACTCTCTGGTTTCACAGGCCGGCACTCAATCCACTGAGCCGCACCAGCCAGGGCTGCACACTAGTTTTGAATGACATCGAGGTATCACACTGCTGGGGAATCAGTGTTACCCCAGGTTCTGTAGAAAAGGAAAAGGTGGGTGTGGTCGGGGACAAGATACAAGTAGACAGGAAGCTTGAAATCTGATCCCAGTAAAATTCTACAAAGATCCTTGAACATTAGCAAAAGGTGAAGTTACTGAGAGTCAGCATAAAATCTGGAAGAACCAACCGAACTGTCTCATTTATGAGACAAGTAGTGCCCTCGGTGACAAGATGAGAGCAGGTGACATCGGTAACAGTCCAGATAAGGAAGTGGCAGCGCGATCAGGCCCTGATGAGTTAGACATCGGACCCCTTTCAGGGGGACTGGGCAGTGATGGCCCTGCCGTGCTGACCTTGGTCCTGACCTTGGTCCTGACCTTGAGTGACTCGGGTTTCAGACGTCTGCCAACCAGGTGTCTAGAAGACCTGAACCTAGGAAGAACAGTTAACCATCACAACTCGAAAATACTTCAGTCACTAATAAAAAAAAATAGGCCAGAAGTACCAGGTGCGTGCTAACCCAACACGATGGTGCGGGGGGGGGGGCGCCAGCTCCTCCCCCACCGGTCCCACACCTTCTCTCAACGAATATTGACTGACCTCTAGCTTTTAAAAAATACTTGCGATCATCCCAAACAAATGATCAATCGAAAAGGATGTGACTCTGGAATCTGTGGTCCTTCTCAACAGTAACTTCAGGAGCACACCTCTGAATCAAACACATCAGCTGTGCTTTACAGGACGGAAGATCCCTTTCTCTGCAGAGAGATTCATGTGTAAACTCCCCCATGGACCAGGGGTGGCTGCAGCTGACTGTCGCACTTCTGTGGCCACAGGTGTGACGAGTGTAGGTTCCCTACTCTCCACGGGCGTGTGCCCAGGAGGGACTAGCGTAGTCCTGTGTGCCTCACTGACCGTGCAAATGTCGCAGTGAACTCCGAATTCCAGGGCTTGTGCTCGGGGGTCTTTACAAGCTGAACGTACTTCCTGGAGGCTTTGAGTTTTTAACAGACGTCTGTGTTTTCAGCCACACAGAATGACAATTTATTTTCTTGGATATTCTTTTTCAAAAATAATTGAATGAAAATACCTGTCATTCTTTAATCCTCTTCCAGATTAAAAACATACACTTTTTTTTTAAGATTTTACTTCTTTACTTTTAGGGAGAGAATAAGGGAGGGAGAAAGAGAGAGGGAGAAGCATCCACGTGTAAGAGAGACATCAGTCGGCTGCTCCTTGCTTGCCCCCCCCCCCCAGCCAGGACGGCCCACGACTCAGGGCTGTGACCTGACCGGGAATTGAATGGCAACCCTTCATCTTGTGGGATGGTACCCACTGATCAGCACCGGTCAGGGCTATAATTTTCTTAAGGACTATAATGAACGAGGAGGGGGGCGCATTTTAACACCAAGTGCTAATAACTTACAGAGGCTCTAAGGACCCTGTGTGACTTAGTTTCGAATTTAAGTGATGATGTTTCAGTAAATGACAATAGCAAGTCTCCAATATAGAGCAAAAGCCACGATGAACGGGAACTTGCTTCCGACAAGGAAGGCTCTCAGGACGACACACTTCCCGTGGGCCAGGCCGGGCAGGCCGGGTGACCACGGACGGAGTTCCCATCTCATCTTCTGCACACGTCCTGGTGGGTTGAGTGGGGCTGTCGTCTGATTCAGTGAGACAGCTGTTTGACTGATTTATTGACTAGATTAAAAACAAGTCTTTACTACCACATACAAATAGCTCTGTATAGCCAGAGAGTGACTTCATGCATTTACTCTCTTAAGATATTACTGGAAAGTATCAAACCTCCCCAGACACTTTGATAACGACCATTTGTATTTAAAGAAGTACTCAAATCTGTTGGGGAATTTCCTAGTAATGCACATGTTCAGTAAGCCAGCAGGTAGCTCTTAGCCCACAGATAAGTACCAACACTGTGCGGTGTATTCAGTACATAGGCAAACAACAGATACACTTGTTTGCGTGTGTGTTTGAGTGCCTGTTAGGTTTCAGGGGTCTGCAGGAATGAGATACACCATGTGATACCCCCAAAATGAAAAAAAAAAACATGAAGAGCAGGCATCAGGGAACTGAGTAGAGAAAACATCTGTAACACGGAGTAGAAGATGCTACACAGAGAAGCAGGAGATAAGTCAGCCCAGCAGAGCGCTCACGGGCACAGGGTTTTGGGTCACACAGCAGTGGTCAGGGGCTCCATTCCCTGCCTCTCAGCTGACCTTGAACAACACGGGTAAGAACTTGTGGCTCCACGTGGACCTGTTTTCTTTTTAAATAAAAGCACCCGGCCCTTCACGTCCACGGGTTTCCCGTGTGCAGGTTCAACCAACACAGACCAGTAACGGTATCGTGTGCGCCCTACTGTGGACTGAAAATCCTGCCCTTTGTGACATGCGGTTGGTTCAGTCGCCAGTGCAAAGGGCCGCCGTACAGTCAGAGTTATGTGTACATTCTCCCCACAGGGCATTGTCCACCCAGAGCCCCCTCGTTGCTCCAGAGTCGCCTTGCTTAATTTTGTAAACTCCCACCTCAGCCACCCCATCATCTATGACATGTGTGAGGTTTAAAGGAGAAAATGCTGAAATGAAGGCATCGGCCTGATGCATAGTAAGAACTGAAAAGCCGCCTGTGGTCACTAGTTCCACACCGTAGATCAGATACTGCTGGCCCTTTGGTTTGGGGGGAGAACAGCAAGAGGAGAAGGGAGAGGGAGCGGGGGAAGGGACAAAGAGGGAACAAACCGTCCTTTGCTGAGGAGAAGGGCGGACAGAGGACAGGTTCAGCAGTGGCGGCAGGGGAGCGGCCCCTGAAGGAGGGACAGGACGTCTCTGGGTGGAGACAGGAAGGAGGGGCCGTCTGGACTGAGAACGCGGCACGAACTTGGGCGCCAGAGCGGCCGATTGGCAAGGGGGTCCAGGTCAGCTGAAACACGCCGCGTTTGGGGGTGAGGACGAGACCCAGGAGTGCGTGTCGGTGGGAAGCCCTCAACGCTGGACTGAAAGGCGAGACTGCGCTTCAGCAGCAGACGGGGGCGTGAGGCCAACAGCGTGGCGTGAGGCCAACAGCATGGCGTGGGGCGGTGGGAAGGAAGGACGTGGGAGGAGGCTGGAGGGGCCCTTCCACTGTGCCAGAGAAGCCCAGGGCCGCGGTGAGGGACCGCAGTGCGTGCGGGGAGACCGTCAGAAGGTATTGCAGAGCCAGAACCAAAGACTCGGGGCCAGGTGCGCCAGGGGCGTCGGGAGAAGTCGCGGCGAAACACAACCCTGAAATGGCAAGGCTGGGCGCGTGGAAAAGCCCCAGCAGTGCTCTCTGTGGTGTCAATGCTGGGTTCAGTGTGTGGGGAAAATGAGGCAGTGCTCACCGTGCAGCCAACACGGGGGCCTCTGGAGCTGGCGAGGGCAGTGGGGAAGGGAGATACTGATTCTGATGCCTGGTGCCCGCGGCCGGCAGACTGCGGTCTAGCTGCACTTACACCGTCAGAGCAATGGAAGGGAAAGCGTGAAGACGGTGGTGTAAGCCTCCCATCACCCTGCCCTGGAGAGGTGCACGGAGAAAACGCCGTAGTGTGGACTGTGCTTTGGTTTGAAAACTCAAGGTCATGAGCATATCGGCACTGAAAACCGAAATGGGGGCGCAAACCAAAAGAAAGGGTAGCCCAGGCCCTTAAAGGAGGAGCAGAACACAGGGCAGAGGCGGGCCTCTGTGAGCCTGGACCTCGAATTGAAACCAAAGATTCTCTTGGTAAAAGTTAAAAACAAAAGCAGAAAAATCTTGACAGCATACTAATTTGACAAACATTGTTACACTCTTCTGTTTTGTTTTACGAAACAAAGTGTTTCTTATTGTTGATGAAACATCTGTGCTTCTCGTATTAAGCGCGCTCTTAATCAATGTGAAGAACAAAGCCACATGTAACCGCGTGCAACGCTTCCATGGTGAATGGAGAACATCCCAGTCCCTGCAAAGAAAAAGAGCAGCTTATTTAACTATTAGATGCGCCTAATCAATTAACATAAATTAGAATTTTTAAATAACACAATATACTCTTCAGGACATGACAGGTGGGCATGCTAAATGAGAATCTAGAATCCAGAGGCAGCGACCCAGATGCAAAGCACTCGGATTTTTATTTCCCTCACGCCCCACAATCTAGAGACTTCCAGGCGAAGTGCATTACCCTGCGTCGCTGTTCACGCCTTTTGGATCCTTCTCGGTCCCAAATCGAGAAAGAGCAAAACACCGCCTCCAGAAAGGGCGTCGCTTCCTCTGTCCGCAGAAACGGTGTTCAGATCGCAGGGAAAATACTGAGCGCTGTTCCGAAGGCCTTGTGCTTCTAAGCGAGGTTCGGACTCTGCCCACCCCCCGAGGGCAGACCCGTGGAAGCTGCGGTGGCGGGAGGTACGCGCACCTGTGAGCACCGCCATACCCAGCGCCTCCTGGGTTACCTGGTGCAACATCGCGTGAGCACAGGGGCGTCTGGACCGACCCCGGTCAGTTATCCCGGGGAGCGCAAAGAGTAACTCGGCCTGTCTTCCAGGATGTCATCGGCAGGGCGCTGCCGTACCTGGGGACCTTCAGGGACCTGAGCACCATGGAGCAGGTGGTGGCCGTGATCGACGAAGAAATGTGCATCAACTGTGGCAAATGCTACTTGACCTGTAACGACTCCGGCTACCAGGTAAGAACTCTGCACCGAGCAGGATGCAGGGGGCGCTTCCTCCGGCTTTTGTAGCAGAAAAGGGTGTTGTGTCTCCACGTCCGAGATTCAGACCCCGCATGCCCACGGCCCCCCCGCCCCCGGCCTCTCGTCCTCACGGGGCAGTGTCTTTAAGTAGAGGGAAGCCACACCTGCCAGCAACGGTGCCACCATTCCGTGCGTGGCATCACCTTAATGATGAGGGAGGTTCCAACCCAAGAGAGGATGTCAGCCGGTCACGGACAGTGGGAAGCTCTGTGGTCCGGTACACAGGGGAGGGACAAGCCGGCCGCCTGTGGCCCTCACTCTGAAAGGACATGATTCCTTCTGCCAAGAGAAGTCTCCCCCATCCGCTGTCCACAGGGCTTCGGCTGCACTGAGAACGGAGAAGCGGCTCCCAGGTTAGGAGGCAGAGCACCCCTGTTCTGGACAAGCCCCCACAAAGGTTCTTCCCGGGCCCCCCCTCAGCTAGACCTGCTGTGGGGCAGCGACCAGAAAGAGGGCGCCCCGTCCATAGGCTGTGCATGCAGAACAGTGTTAGTTACACTTGGCTTCTCAACCTGCAGAAGTAACTGGAATTTTCAAGATAGATAAAATGGCCCATTTTTAAAATTGAACTTCGCTGACCTTCTTCAGCCCAGCAGAAGGTCCGATGTTGCTCTAGATGGGATTTTGCATATTCTGACCACCCGATAGAGGTGATGTATTTTAATTAAAAAAAAATCTTCAGCCTTCATTTGACATTAGTCCTAGACCAACTTTTTAATGTATCACATTTGGGGGGGGGGGTGCGGGCTGAAAGGTGCCTCTAACAGTTGTTTTGAAATAACTGTTCTTTTGACACATTGACTTTTCTGTCCTCTCCTCCCTAATTAACCAATCAGAGAGCAGTCAGCAGGTCCTATGGCTAAGGTCGCACAGAGCACAGGGTTCGGGTGTCTGGCGTCTTCGAGGTTTTGACTCCCGCGTGGGCACCCTCACCCCGGCTCCACGTCACTAGGAGCGACCTTATTCGTGACGGGGCGGGAAGGAAGGGAGAGAGGAAGTATACATCCCCAAGTTTCTCAACGTCCGGACCTGGTTCTCAGCCGGAGGCCCCGCCCTGGTTCCCACAGCCAGGCAGTGACAGGCGGGGGCAGGTGGGGACAGGAAGCCAGGTGTCCCGGCCTTGGGTCTTCGGTGACTTTCCCCCTGTGTGGTGGGACTCTGCGTGGAAACCCTCAAACCTCAAAGTCGGCTGCTAAGCTGATTCTTTTCCCACTGCTTTTGTCTCAGAACCACACACATCATTTGAAATCCAAACAGGTGCACCCTCACCCCCATGCGGGTGAGGAGGACGAGGAGGGGTGTGGGGGCCCCATGGGGGGTCCTCCGTCCAGTCAGACCGCAGAGGGGCGCTGCTCAGACCAGGGACAGGGGGCGCGTGTGCCACTCTGCGGTGCACACACCAGGAGCTGGTAGCTCAGCTGTGGCTCTGTCTGCTCCAACACTGGGTACGTCGTCCCCACGGCCAGCTCACCACAGGGGACAAGAGCCTGGCACTCCCCCTCCCCTGTGTTGGCGTGGGGGCATCCGTGGCCTTGGGGCGGTGACAGCTGTGCCCTCCGTCTCTGTCCCCAGGCCATCCAGTTCCACCGGGAGACCCACCTGCCCAGCGTATCGGAAAGCTGCACGGGCTGCACCCTTTGTCTCAGCGTCTGCCCCATCATCGACTGCATCCGGATGGTCGCCAGGACAACGCCCTATGAACCCAAGAGAGGCTTGCCCTTGGCCGTGAGGCCATAGCGCTGAGGTGATTGTCGAAACCCTCCTGCGGGCTCCGAGGCCACCCACACACACGTGTCTTTTTAATTGTGACCGTGCGGTCCAGCACTTTCAAATTACAGCAAACACCTAATTTCCAGATAGAAATCTCCTATCTAGACACATTTCTAAATAATCAGAAAAGCAAGTTGGCTACCGGTGACCACTCAATGGTTATAACATCGCGAGAAACTTCAGTTGTCATGGCCATTAATCCACAATTTCCAAATTGCCCTATGCTTTGCTTTGATTTCTAATTGTAAGTGAAATTAAGGATTTTAGAAGCAAGTACAATTAACATACAAAAAAAAGTGTTTCTGAGGAAACATTTTATGATTAAAAATTACGCTTAATTTTAACACTGTTTCTAAGCAAATATAATTAGCTCCAGAAAGCACAGATGAACAAAGCGAAATCATTTTTTACAGTGCCAGGGGAAAAAAATAAAGCCAGAGGGGGTTCGCAAAACTTTGTAGAAGCCCCTCCGCTGGCGCAGCTCCCTGTTGGCCGCAGGTGCCGAGTGACAGTGTCCGGGAGCCGTCGGTGCCAGGGCCGCCCGCCGCTCAGGCCCGAGACCGGCGTCCAGACCCCACCAGGGAATCGGCCTGACGTTCCTCGTTAAATATTTAAACTGTGCTCCCAACGAGATGCAAAGTTTGATTAGAGCTCGGGTGAAAGCCACTTGTTCACTGCGCTCAGATCTGCTCTCTCTGATTTTAATAATAACCTTCATTACAGCAATTAACATCCTAACAACATCCAAATTACACAGCAGCAGGTCACGTGCTGCTCGATTTGAGAACGAAAAGTGTGCGGTTGGCAGCGTTTGCTGCAGGGGCGTACGCGGCTCCCCCGGTCTTTCTCGGAGCGTGTGTGCTAAGTTTCAGAAGTCACGGAGTGAGAGAGAAATCTATTTTTTCTGTGATTGCCAAACAGTACTTTTGCATTTCTCTGCTTTTATAGTCGGGCACGCAGCCCCATATACTTTGTGTATCTCTTCTTTGTGGCGTATTTTCCTATGAATTCAGAACTAGTGAATCTTTAAGGCACCGTTCATGGCATGTTTCTGTGATGGATGCCAGGCAGAGAAGACGTTTCATGATGCACTTTTCGAAATGAGCACTGACCGCCAAATCTCTGTGATGCAATAATATCAAATAAAATTCCACCAAGCACTGGAACGCACGTGGTCCCTTGCTGCCTCCTTTGCCACTGCAGTCACACGTCCCCCGTGGGAGGCGGAGCAGAGCCGGGTGACGCCTACGCCTGCTTGTGGAGGATGGGACGAGGCGGAATCTAATGAGGGGACGGGAGGGTCGCCGTGTGAGTGCTGCGCTGCCTCTGCCACGGACTCAGGCACCCCACTGAGTCCAGTCCTCCTTGGCCAACACGTGTCTCTCTCGGGCCACAGGCCGGGCCCTTCGCGGCGGCTCAGTGGCAGAGGTTTGGTGGGAGTGGCAGCCTTCCGTCAAAGGTGCCAACTTCGTGATAAGAAACAGCCATGTCACCTAACACTTCAGTCTCGATCGTTGTGAGATGCTAAGGGCTCGGAGGCACTGACTCACTTTTGTCACCGTGGGGGCGTCATGCCTGTTGGCCTTGGTAACAGAGTTGTCCAAAATAGGAATTTGCCTGGGCCCCGGGACACCGTCAGGGGGCGTGTCCCTGGACAGGACAAGAGCCAGTTCCTGTGGGAGCACTTCAGCCTGCTGGGACCTCACGGGAAGACGTCAGGGCAGGTGGGCCGGGGCCCCTCAGGGCGCTGGCTGAACACGGGCAGTGAGGACTTGGCGCCATCCTCGGAGGAGGCGTGGACACGGTCCATGGCTCCGCTCTGGACCCCCCACGGGCCGGGGCTCCGCTCTGGACCCCCCACTGTGGAGCAGAGCCGCCAGGGAGCAGGGGTTCGTGAGGCCGCCGTGACCCGCGCCGTGACAGCTCTTTGTCCCCACACACGTTCGTCTCCGTGCGTCTGTGCGTTACACTAAGAGGCCTTTCTCCTCCATGTCGTTTGTAGGAGACGTAGTTGAACTTTGCATGGGTGGCTGGCAGAGAGACTCAGAATAGAGGGAGAAGCAGAGTCACGTATTTCCATCCAGCGAGAGAGACCCCAGGCCGCCGGCCCTAGCTCACACACGCCCACGGCTCCTCGGCATGAACGAAGTCATAGGACCAGACCCAGGAGTCCGGTTAGTGGGTGTCTCCTGTGTCTGCGAGGCTGCGCTAAATATAAGCGTTCTACAAAAATGACAGTGAATGTCCTGTGCCAGCGTGGCCAGGCCGCAGTGCCCGGCTCTTGAGCAAGCGTTATTCCAATGTGCTTCTGAGGGTGGTTTGGGGTGAGACTCACATGTAGCCTGGTAGACTCACAGTAAAGCAGATTGCCCTCCCCGGTGTGGTGGGCCTTGTCTAATCAGTCGAAGGGCTGGCTAGAACAAAAGGCCCACCTTCCCTGAGCAAGAGGGACCTCCCCTGCAGACGGCCTTTGGCCTCCCTGTGCAGCATCCGGTCTGTCCGGCTCCCCGGCAGGCTGTCCCGGCTCTCAGGCTGCAAGCCTTTCCTCAATCACCAGCCCGCCAGCCTCCCCTGTGGATTTTAGACTCACCAAGCCTCCACGATCACAGGGGCCAACTCCCTAAAATGTAAATCTTCACGTACACACACACACACACACACACACACGCACATGTGCACACTATTCTGTTTCTCTGGGGGGCTCAGTAATACAAGATATGTTATCTGGTTTGAATGTTCAGATGAGCAGAAGCGGGTTCTGTTGGTTTTTTTCCCCGTTAACAACTGAGGCCGTGGGCCCTTAAAGAGTCCGAGCGACTTGCTCCAGGTCACGTAGCTGGTGAGGCGTGTTGGTGACGTCCGTGGTACCACCTGCTTCCCCTCCTGTGTTGAGCCCTTCGCTGTCCAGCTAGAGTTTATCAGGCACCGGCCAGGCGGGCTGAGGGCCGAGGGTGTGGGTGCGAAAGCTGTTAGTCCCCTAAAACCCCCACGTGCAGTCCTCGGGGAGTCGGGCCTGTGACCGCTCCCCGGCGAGCGCCAGGAAGACCGTCTGCAGAGGAGAGACACCGTGTAAGGCATTTGCCCGAGCACGATGATAGTTAAAGCAAGTGTTTAGCTCATTTTAAAAAGTGTCCTAACTAGGGAGGGAGAGAAAGGCATCTCAAGCCGTGGAAGCGAGGAAAGCCCGGGGGTGGGGCGGTGGGCCGAGTCTGGCATGATGGGGAAGGAGAGCTGGGCGGCGGCTGGAGCGCACTGAACCTGTGCAGGGCGGGGAGACGAGTCTGAAAGGCCTTCGGATCCCTCGGGGCCTCAGGGCCAGTGTTCTGCTCATTCAGACGCCCACTGCCTCCCTGATGCCCGGCACGGGCTGGCTGGTGACGACTCGTCTGTGAGACAGACGCAGTCGCTGCCTGCTGAGCCTCCAACTTCCTGGAGGCCACAAAGAGCAAGCGGACAAGCAAAGTGCAAAAGCACAGCAGGTTAGTAACGGGATCCTCGCTTCGGCTCAGACGTGGAAGGCCCGGGGCCCCACCCGAGTCTGGCTCCCGGCCGACTGCCCTGGAGACCGCGGTTCGGGCTTCAGACAGGCTCAGGGCCCCTGGGCCCATCGCTCCGGGAGGGCCCTGTGGACGATGGAGGGAGTTTCTGTTTGGCAAGGATGCGTCACATCGACAGACCCTTAGGAGATAACAGGCCCGGGGCTCCATGACGGGACAGAGTCTCACAGACCCTCCTCCGAAGAATCACAGAGGGAACCAGAGAGAAATTCTGCAGGAAGGGGCGGGCCTGGGAGAGGCCTGCTCCTCTGGGGAGACAAGCTGAACTTGTGCGTCCCGCTCATCAAACTCACCGGTGCGAATTGTGACCCGACCAGGTGGCCTCAGGCCTCGGAGCCGGTGCAGGCCAGTGAGGTCACAGCAGCATCAGGAAACCAATGCTCGCCCCTTCCTTCCTTCCTTCCTTCCTTCCTTCCTTCCTTCCTTCCTTCCTTCCTTCCTTCCATCCATCCATCCATCCATCCATCCATCATGCATTTGCTTAACAAATACCTACACTGTGCCCTGGCCGGGGTGGCTCAGTTGCCTGGAGCATCTCCAGTAAACCAAATGGTCGTGGGTTCAATTCCCGGTCAGGGCATGTGCCCAGATCGTGGGTCCAGTCCGCAGTAGAGGCACATGGGAGAGGCAACCAATCGATGTCTCCCTCTTCCCATCAATGTCTCCCTCTCTCATTCTCTCCCTCCCTTCTCTCTCAAATCAGTGAGCATGTCCTTGGGAGAGGATTAAAAATAATAATAATAGTAAAAACAGATGCGTAGTGCATATTCTAGGCCTCGGCAGTGTGGACATACAGACAGACCAGATCTCGGCTCACAAGGAGGCTGTGGTCGCTCTCTCCAGCCTCCGGGTTCCCCAGGACACTCAGAAGCCCCCGCTGCAGAGAAAGGGGGCGGGCCCAGCATCAGAGCCGGTCTGAGGCTCCGCCCCTGCACCTCGGCAGCAGCTGTGATCTCGGGGGCTCAGGGGCAGCTGTGAGGCCACGTTCCAGGAGCACACTCAGCAAGCAGTGAGCCCACCGCAGACTTCCCTCCCTGGCCCTCCCCCCCGGCCCTCCCCTCTCCTTCCTCCCCCGCTGGTGTTCGTGTGTGTTTCTGGGGCCTCTGGTCCTTGGGACAGACACTTGCAGAGTGAGCGCCCAGCCAGGTGGCATTCGACACTGGACGGAAGGGCAGGTTTCTGTCTGTGTGGAGCTCACAGGCGTCTACACTGCAAATAAAGGACAGCACGTGTGCCTGCTGGTGACAAGGGCGCCCTGGGGGATGTCATTGTCACTCCTTCCTCCTGGCAAACAGGCCAAAACCTCTAGCTTGTTCTTGACAGACCTCTTAGGAGGCCTTTTATTACCGTCCAGCCTGGGAGTGTTTGGGGGACTTCTGGCAGCAACAGCCCGTTTAACCCTGACCGTGCACAGGGCGGGCGAGGCCGTGGGTCCCAGGGCTCGTGGGGAGGGACCGTCCATCTCACGCCGCTCTGATCAGGAAGCCCCGGTCCTCCCCTCCTGCTGTCAAACCGCCCCCAGCCCGACAGCCCAGCTCACGCCTCACGCAGGCTGCCCATTGGCTGCGTGGGGGTCACAGGGGTCACAGGGAGGCTTCGCTGGGATCGGCTGGTGAGGACACTTCTCTGATCGGACACCGCGCGGTCAGAATCCTTGTCATCACCGCCCAGACTCCCCAGTCCTTCAGAAAGCTCGGCGTGGCTTCTAGACCAGGGCCACACCCAGGCAGCTGGCTCGGGGGCTGCCGGGAGCAAAGCCACAGCCAGTCACTAACCACGTTGTCTGTGGTGCTGCCACGGTGACCACGTGGCCTGGTCAGGTTGTGACTGGGACCAGAGGGGCACTGCTCTCTGTCACTGCACAGGAGGGCAGCTGACCCCCGAGGTAAAACGCGCAGCAGCTGCCCCTTGTGCGGGGCTCCTTCTCGGAGGGTGGGGGAAACATACGGCCTGCCCGGCCCTGCGGCACAGGCGTCTCTCCCCGTTCACAGCTCCGCAGAGCCCCTCCCGAGTCAGCCCAGACCCTCCCCAACTGTGTCAGCGCGCCCCAGCCCAGCTGTCAGACGGCCCGCTGAGTCTGCCCCGGCCTCACTGCAGAGACACCGTCTGCCGTCACGGGGCACTCCCGGCGTCTGCCCAGGGCAGGAACTCTGTGCCTGCGTGACCCCAAGGCCGGCCACCGCGGGAGTGAGACAGCAGGCACGTCGTGAATATTTTTACATGCCTGTCATCAGCCTGATGTGCCTGGACCGGAGGGAACACTGACGCAGACTAAAACAGGGATTCTGCTCCGGGGAGAAAAACTCGGGGGGGGAGGCCCATTCCCCACCTGCCAACTAGACAAGTCCCCTGCATCAGCTCAGCCCCCGGTGGCTCTCTGTGCTCAGAGGCAGGGAGACGGGGGGGATGCTGCAGGGCAGCCACTGCCGCCTACAGGCAGTCCTCCCGGGTTGGCGGCCCCCACCCCTCAGTCTGGAGGGCTCCTTAGCACCCACATGGCTACTGGCTTCAGGTCTCGGGACAGACGCCCGTGCCCTCCCCCACAGACACAGTCACAGAGAACAGGACTGCGGGAAGAACTGGGCCCACCGCGCACGACTGTCCCTGCT